TTTTCCTCAATAAAAATCATTTATATTGTTATTATCGTGAAGAAGTTTCTTGCTTTTCCGACATTAACTTCAACTTGCCAATTATCTCCTCGGCTACCACAAAATTTTTTGATTGAAAATGAACAATCTGTCAGAGCTCATGCCTTTGGCAAATAGGAATTCGGATAGAAAGATGCTTTCGTAGAATTCTTGAGTTCTGGAGGCGATGATTCGACGAACAGGGTCCTTTTTCATGCAATCAGTTGGATTTTGCACACACTTGAGGAAGCTATGCAGGTCATCAAAAGACAGGACCACATAGGAGGCAAAAGGGCTACCAAATGGTAGTAACACTAATCCTTAGCCCCAGGTAGATTCGCCTTCTGCATGTTCGGTTATGGAAAGTGCGTTCAAAGCTGCCTGTCTGGCTTCTCCATCATAAGACTGCTGCGAATGCGCAAACATCTAGATTATTTGAATACTAGCAAGAAACTTTCCACATTAAAATCCGACCTGGTTCCAAAAGAACCAGCGCGCTTAGTCCCTTATTAATTGACCGGCCACCTCAACTCCTTCAGTACAGTTTCAGTTTGTGCAAATGTTTGGAGCTAGTTGTGGGCCCCTCCTTTAGAATCGCTCTTTCGCTTCGCGTGTAGCAAAGTTATTTAAAACAGTAAAAAGCAGATCGCCTTCTTTAAATAAAACAGCTTAGAGTGGAGGACTGCCCTTGAAAATGGTAAGTTCTGTCGCCGGCAAACCACCTAATAATTTTTTTTTGGGACCTTTTCTAAGCGTCTTTCCGTGTAACAGCAACCACAAGCAACTGAGGACGGCTTTAGTCCTGAACTTCTTAATAATTCTATGCAAGCGTGCTTCAACCTGAAGTTCCTGCTAATCGTTGGCATTGTCCAATACCCGACCGCCATCATCATCACCTTTAAAGCTCTCGCTATCATTGCAGACTTTTTGAACAACTGCTTCAGCAATTTTTAAGAAAATCCCAGGCCCGTGAAAAAGTTTCCGTCCAGCCTTCTTCTTCTTCTTCTTATTCTTCAGCGTTTGTCCCACTCTGTGGCGGGGTCCGCTTTTCTGGTATTATGACGCCACTTTTCCCGATTATGTGCCTGATCGGGATGAAGGCCAACTAATTTCAAGTCCTCATGCAACGTATCAAGCCATCGTTGCTTCGGGCGTCCTCTTGGCCGCTTTCCTGGCACGTTAAAGTCTAGACCGATCTTACGGACACTCTCATCATTAGCGCGAAGGACGTGACCGTACCACCTCAGGCGAGCTTCGCGCATCTTATCAGCGATGGGAGCCACACCGAACCGTTTTCTGATGGCATCGTTGCGAATGTGGTCCAGACGCGTGACCCCGGCAGTCCAGCGGAGCATTTTTGTCTCCATCACACTAAGACGAGCCTCAACCTCTTTGGTCACGGGCCAGCACTCTGCTCCGTAAATGGCGACTGGTCGGACGACGGTTCTGTAGATCTTCGATTTCAGTCGCTCTGGTATTTTCCTTATCGCAGAGAACGCCGGTCATCGAGCGCCATTTAGACCAAGCTGCGCTCACTCGGGAGTTTACTTCAGAGACCAGGCTACCATCGGACGCGATCGCCGACCCAAGATACTTGAATGATGTTGTACGCGTGAGCTCAGTGCCATTAATCTTAATAGAGCCTGGCTCACTCGAATCAGTGGTCAAGTACTCTGTCTTCTTCACGTTCAGCCTGAGGCCAAACATAGCCAGACGGTCGGACCAGGTTTGCACCTGTTTCTCGAGCAGATGTTTGTCTTCGCAGGCGAGCATCACATCGTCAGCATACAGAAGCGTCCATGGAGCGGGCTCCTGAAGATCACGCGAAATGGCATCCATAACGACAATGAATAGGAGTGGGGAAAGCGCAGAGCCTTGGTGCACACCGACCGAGATGGGAAATTCCATCGAAGTACCTGCCACCGTTTGCACCCGACTCCTTGAGTTCGAGTAAAGTATGCGCACCCACTCAATGAGCTCTTCGGGAACGTCGTGCTGCCGTAAGGCATACCATATAACTTCTCGAGGAACGCGATCAAAAGCCTTCTCCAGGTCCAGGAAGGCAAGATGCACAGCTTTTCTTTTCTCGCGATGTCTTTCCAGCAGAAGGCGGGCTGCGTGTATTGCATCGATGGTGCCGCAGCCTGACACAAATCCACACTGGTTGATGGAAAGCTGCACGATGTCACGAATACGGCCGTCCACAATTCGCTCAAAGATCTTCATGCTGTGCGAGAGCAGGCGGATTGGACGGTAACTCGTACAGTCAGCAGGGCTGCCTTTCTTCTTCCAAATCGGAATCGTTGTGCTCTGTTGCCAGCTCTCAGGCACCTTTCTCTCTGCTACGATCTGGTTGAAAAACGTGGTCAACCATTCAGCAGGACACCAGCATTTCGACTTCCATATGTCGGCCGCCAGATCATCGGGTCCTGTAGCTTTTCCCGACTTCATCTTCTTCAGAGCCATTTCCGTTTCCTCCACGGTTATTCTCTGCACAGGACCTTGCACAGGTGGAACATAAGGGACTGCTGGATGAGCAAACTCTTCAGCTGAGATGTTCTCGAAATAATCGTGCCATCGCTTCACTGCTTTTTTGCGGTCCGTCAGGAGGTGACCATTTTCGTCGTTGATGCCGAAAAACTTCTCGATATCCTCGGACTGGCGATGACGGGCTTTGGCGAGGCGATAAATATAGCGTTCACCATCGCGCGTCTCGAGCTTCTCGCTGACATCAGCAAAGTGTGCAGCTTTTGCGGCAGCAACGGCCTTCTTTGTCGCACTCTTAGCTGCCTGATACCTTCGCCAGTTGTCGACAGTCTTATCGCCAAGAAATACGTGGTAAAGCCTCTTCTTCTCACGTACTTTTTCTTTCACATCGTCCGTCCATAGCCACGATTGCTTGTCGATCTTCCGTCGCCCAGGTTTTGTTGTGCCGAGTTCGGAACGGGCAGAACGGATTATCGCCTCGGCAGCACTTTTCCAAGTTTCATCAACAGTAGTGACTGCCGGCAACTGAATGTTGGATATCACGACCGTCTCCTTCTCTTTCAAACGCCACCACTTGATTCTCGCTGGTCCACACCGCTCGATGTGTTTCATTTTCGGAGAAGCGATCTTCAGCGTGCAAATCAGCGGTCGATGTTGCGTGGTGACAGTCTCATACGGCACCGCCTTTGCGTCTGTTACAAGCCCTCGATCGCGTTGCCTGACGAGGACAAAGTCGATTTGCGTTCTGGTAGTACCGCTGTAGAAGTGATGAGGTGGGAATCACGTTTCCGGAAATTCGTATTCACGATGGTGAGATCGTGCGAATTTGCGTACTCAAGAATTCGTTCGCCATCGTTGTTACGTGACCCATATCCAAATCCACTCGTATAATTATTATAGTTGTACCCGTCTTTCGCATCGCCGACGTGACCGTTAAGGTCACCTGCAACGATGACAGCCTCTTCTGATGGTACCTCTGCGGTTTTTTCATCCAGCAGGGTCCAGAACTCATCTTTAGCTCGCTCAGAGCAGCCAGTCTGCGGAGCATATGCAGAGAAGAAGTGGTATCGCTTACGTTCGATGACGACAACAAGCTTCATTAGACGGTCGTCAAAGCGATCAACGCTTACGATCGAGTCACGGAAGCGGTCAGAAACAACAACTCCGACCCCACTGGTGGTTCTAGGACCGCCACAGAGAACGGCTTTGAAGCCTCGTCCAATATCTCTCGATCTGCAGCAGGACCACCTCGTTTCCTGCACGGCACAGAAATCAATCCTTCGGCGCTCTCAGAAGCTTGCTGTCTAACTCTCTACGAGCGGCCCGTTAGTGTGCCATAGCATTTAACGTCGCAACGCGAGTCTTCCATACGTTGCAGGACTTGTGGACTAGCCTAGTTGCCCCCCGATGCCGTCCTTGCGTCGGAGACCCTCGCATACTTTTCACACTCGCCGGGCTTTGCGAGTGCGCGTCGGCTCCCGCGGACGCCGTAGCATTATCTCGAAATCATATGAGCGACATTAACCATGAAGATGTGACGTGGATGTTCGTAGGCCGGCCTGTCACGGGGGCCTGTCGCCTGCATTCGAATGTCCGCGATCAGCTCAGCCCACAAAAGTGAGCAGTTCCCAGTGGCACCACTTGGAGGAGCGGACCCCGCCACCAATTGACAGCTGGTGCTAGGTATTTGACCGTGCTTCCGCTCCTTAGCAGGAGCTGTTTGAGCTGGGAAAGAAAACCATCCAAACTTGTCCTTCGAGTATGTCGTATTCAAGGGCTGTGATTAATTTGTAAGAATTTGTTTGAGGGCGAAGCCTGACCTAACTTTTAGATAGAGCAAGAGATGCTCTTTAAAGTGACGCATAGCGCAGTGGCAGCTTGCTCAATATGTGCGAAAGACCATACAAATGGAACACTAAAAAAAAAAACGCAAGAACTCCTTCACGAAGCCTATTGCCGACGTGGTTTCAGTCGCGAGACTACTGTTGGTGGAGCCGACTTGCCACCCAAATTCAGCTCAGTCAATCACCGGCAAGAGGACAAACAGCGCATCGAAGGTCACTATGGTTAAGACGTCGTTTGTAAGATAGTGTAAGATTTTGTTTCTACTTAACAGAACCACTATGATCTCGACACAGCCCTACTACAGCAAACTGCAGCTCAAAGAACTTCTTAACAACGCTCCAATCACATAAATATAAATAGCTTTATTCAGATTTACATTCAGCAAAGGAAAAAAATAAATGAGACGCAACACAAAGTATCCGCAATAAACAACACTGAAACATCAACACGTATTCCGGAAAATCGTCAAATAAATGACATTTTCTTATGACAAAATCGACAACGATCATAGCACTAAGTAATTAAAACGAATTCTATAATTTTATAACAAATTAAGCGGCCTAAGAAAGTAGCACATTTCAGTATCACGAAATCAACAATCAACACAATAGACCAGTGGAAACGATTTTTTCATCTCATGGGTATCAGCATCAGTTCATATCCTTGTACTGCGTAGAATGTCGCACGAACTCGTTCCTGATGCGTTGCTCCATCGGCCATGCATACCACTCTCGAGCCGCTGCTCCTAACCGCGCTCCCGTGCGACTCGGCCTCTGCGCCTCGATCGGGTTAACAATTCCTAAAATTTTCACCCTTAAAAAGGTAAAACCATAATCACCATTGGAAGGCTCTCAAAAATTCATCCAACCACCTAGGCACCATCTTCCCCTTGTGCTCCATTTCCATTAAAAAAACTAAGTATTTCCTAACGAGCACTGGCGCTTCGCTTAGTTAATGAGATCAAGAAAAGTTCACAGGAGCTAAGATCAAGGAAGGATAGAAGATTTGCGTTGATCACTGCCGCTTTTAGGCGAGCCAGCAACCGCATTCTACTGCTAATTGTACATTCGTCTGACACTGAGAATGTGCAATAAGGCCTATACATATGCATCTCGGGGCCAGCCATCTACAGGCCAGTGTCTGTGAATGCCTTCAGACAAGTCTGTACCAGTACCGACGCCGGATGGATGGAAGCGCTCGGTGCTGGGAGCCCCCGCAACCAGAATCAAATCCCCCGATGCGCCGCAGGTGGGTAAGCAGCGCCACGCGCCCCCCGGCCCGAATGCCCAGAAATATATTTTGAGGCTCACTAATCAAAATAAGCAGCTCTCACACACACTTCACTTTTAATGATGCGCTACTTATTCAGTACTATAAGCGGCACTGGTCGAACAATGAGAAGGATTTCTTAGAGGGCTGGAAATGAAAATTTTCGATTAATTTATCTCGACTCATTTGCCTAGGCAGCAAAGAAGATAGCAGGCGGCACCTTTCCAGCTTTCAGTCCTCCAAATACGCCAAGAAATCTGATGAAGTTACTGAATATCTTTTCAAACACCCAACCTTGCCCATTGGCGTCCAAACACAACTGGCCTTCTACCCCAACCATCGTTCAGTAGCCGGCTTCCTATATTATCGTTGCCCAACGGTCGCATGGACGCTAATTCAGACTCTTTCCTGAGCGCTTCTTCACTCCGTCCACCAAACTCCTCGCGAGGGTCCACCACTAAATCAAGCATAATGAGTAAACAAGAACTTTTGAGCTAGACAAATATCTTACCTCCAGGATCCAGGCCAAACTGCTGTCGCCGCTCCTTTGCTCGATCTCTATACACGATCTTCTGTTCTAACTGAGGAAGAGCGGCTGCAGCAAGCGCTTGTGCTTCCTCATCATCCCTTTCCATCATTGCCGTCACGTACTGGCGGCCCCACTCTACCCGCTTCTCCTCGAGATTTTTCTAAAATCAAGACCTCACTGTGACAAATTAAGAGCTTTTAAAGCAACCTAATTATCAATCGCGCTGTGCGACCCCTTAAGAAAAAAAGAATCGTTAAGTATCGTACCTTGTGCAATTCACTTTTCTCCACATGCTTTCTCAAGACGTCGACACTAGGGAATGCCCTCTTGCATAAAAGACACATCTTCTTCCCCTCGTCCACCAAGGCACGTTCCATCATCTCCCTATGCTCTTGTGCCGTCGGCAGATGGCGCCGAGGTGGTACCGGAGCTTCTGTAGCTGTAGTTTCTGTAGGTTCTTCTAAAGTTTCTCAGAAAGCGTCACTATTTCCACGATGCACAAGAAATAGTGGGAAATTGCTAAAGAATACAAGTCGAAACCTACATAACCAACTAGCTTACCTTCACCCGATTCACTCCGCTTTTTCTCATCTCCAGAGCCTTCCTCATCTTCGTCCGAATCGCTAACGTTGGATAATCCTTGCTAAACACATTATCACATTACATACCGTTCAAAAAAGAGAAAAAAGAATTTGCTTGGAGAAAAAACTTTGCTATGCCCACCTTGCTCTTCTCTAACATTTTATGGGCAACATTAGCTGCGCCCGCCTGATTCCTTTCAAATGCGCTTTTCGTCTCCAACGGCTTAACGAGCGGCTTTAATGACATCTGGACCTTCTGTTTCTCTTGCTTTTTCGCCCACTTCATCATTTCCTTAGCAATATCCTTAGCGCTTTTCTGTAAAAGGAAAATTCACCTGACAATTGACAAGAAAAAACTTCCATCAAAAATGATCCACCTGCGCATCATCTTGCTTCTCCTCTTTCTTCTCTTCAGCTGGAGGAGCCGTTTCAGCAGGTTGACCGCCAGTACTTGTAGTCGCTGTTGAATTATTTTCAGTCTGAAAGTGACATTTATTCAAAGTGTCATTGATGCGAAATCTTGAAAATTGCGTTACCGTATTCTCCTCGATCGGGAAATAGGTACTGTAGGTGGCATCCCATGTGCACCACTTCCGCGTATCATTGTTGAAATAATAACCAGTTTTTTGATCATAGTAAAATTTCGTCTCAGGATCCACGTAATAGCCTGCTGTTTGATCATAACAAAATGTTGCCGGATTCGGTGTTACTGAAATGGAGAAAGTGTTGGGAGCTCATCAATCAACAGCGATCGCACCAGTTACCGTATTTGGAGAACACTCCTCGAGGCGTCGGCGTCATACCAATTATTCCATTCACCGGTGTCGGTGCCACAACTGCGTAAGCGGGTGTCGCTCCTGCTACTGCCTGCAATGATGGTGGCTGCAGCATCATTCCTGCTTGCATAGATGTCGTAGGCATCATTTGTACTTGTTGTGCCATTGGTGGCATATTAAACTGTGCTTGAGATGGTCCCATCACCGCTTGCTGTTGTTGTTGCTGCTGTTGCTGCATTAAGATCATGTGTTGAGGTGGCACGGCGACATTAGGTGGCTATAAAGAGGGACTTAGGACCCAGCAGAAGCATTTTCTTGAAGTTTTGACGATAAATTAATTGAACTCACCATTGTTTGTCCCTGCGATTGCCGTAATGCCGCCATTGCTGCTTGAGCTACTTCAGCACCATGAGCTGCAATTTGTCTCCAGTACAATCTAGTAGTTAACATAGCGTAACAGTGAAAGCAACTTACCATTTGGATTCATTCCAAGCGTACTCACTGGAGGAGCAGGATTTCGACTTTGCAACATGCTTATCTGCTGCCTTATGAGATGCGTCATAGAGTGGCGACAGAATGTCATTACAACTGAAGCTGACACTCATTGCCAATTTTTATAACACTGTGCATTTCACCATCTTGAGCAAAATTCTTACCATCTTTTCCTGCTATCTTGATCGGAGTTTTGTACGACGAATTCAATAATAACGTGGCTTCGTCGCTACTTTTCATCTGTATATATGCGTATTGCTTTGAGTCCGAGATCTGAAGCTGTACAATCGACGTGAGCGCTGTATACTGACTGAGGCTCTCAAACAGCATTGCCGTCGTGCACCCTTCGGGTAATGCTCTGATTAGAAGTGCTGAAACATGAACAATTATGAATATTAATTCGGCAAGCAAGAAAACTCAGATAAAAACTCACTATCGCAGGGTACTACGCCAACCATGTGCAGGCCTTGCCGCTCAAGCTTCATCGACGCTCCTTTCTCCGTGTCGCACTTGAAACAAGCGTCACGTTTGAAGAAATTTTGGACAGAGCACTGAATGAATTTCATTTTTCTGGAAAGTCAGACCGAAAGTACGAATAGAATTAGAAGCTATGAATCAATGGAATTTGACCACCCATATGATCACAAGTAAACAGCTCAGAACTGACCGAGCTGGATCTTTCATCTTTAGTTCTGTTCCGCCCTCTCACATTAGCGCAAAAATAAAACTCATCCGGAAAAACTGATTCAAAAACGTCTATGGAATCACCTTCTTTCCGCCTTCGCCCTGCTTAGAAGTACATTTTCGCTCACTCCATCACCCCGAAATTGCATACTAGGCGTTGTTCAATTTTAGCGACTAAGGCTCAGAGAATTAGCGCGCATCAAACTAGTTCACTAGCACTCTCTCATCGTTTCAAGCGATTCGTATGTTCGCATATTCTCTTTAATCGTCAACAGTGAACAAGAACTTAAAAGTGATTCTTTTTCAGATCAGCAACTTAATCGTATAACGACTCGTAGTAACTCATCCCCCCCCCCTTAAAAATGGCTGCTTTTGCCAACCCGTGCAGCAATATACGATCCGCGTTGTGAAATCCACAACACAGATCTCCTTCAATTTCTTTAGTGTAAGAAAAAAAGGTTACGTTGGCACATGTCCAGTCGTGATCCGTACGTCGTCCAGCACTGGCCGGATCACTTTTAGCGTACTCCACTTGCACACGACGTCCATCTTGTAACGTTAGCCATCCCTGAAGAAAGCACTGCTTCATTATGAGCGTGTCGGATCACTCTCGTGACCCGACACATACGCATAGATTCAATCAAGACATTCCAATAAAATTGAAACTTTAGCAAACATAGTCTAAAATAAAAAGAAGCGTTCAACAATAGAAGAGTCTAACCTAGCCATTAGCATACTTATTCGAATTTCTTGGAGAAAAAGCTGCTGCACGTGAAGATAACTTAATAAGTTAACCTGGTGACTATAAAGATTTCATGAAGCCAGTTCCCTCCCAAAATTGACTGCACTTGATGAGTACCATTAAGCTGCACAGAAATTTGTGTCAGTCTTGCGACCCTCCTTTTTCTGAACGTATTTTTGCAACAAATTCTTTGGGTGGGAATGTACTGTTACATATATTTGGGAAGTGCATTTGAAACACTTCCTCATGGTGTATAAATGTTAGCATCGCCATATTTCTTGCAGAATTTTTAGCTCAGAAATGAAGGCATCGAACCAGCAAACTTGAATTGTACAGTCCTACAAATTCCAACTGGATTGGAATGCAGCAAAAATAGCTTCGCTGTAGCGAATTCGACCATCAAAACAAGAATGGTCGCTTGTGTGATTCCGAACTCAATTACTCTAATATAAAGGATGGTGATAGAAAACACACGTTCCGCTCCGCGAAAACTAACAGCGTTTCTACATTTCAGCGTTGGAAACAGGGAGGGGAAAGGTGAACCAGTGGATTTCCTTCCAAACATGCAACAGTCGGTGTGAGCTGTTGCTGGGGTCCCTTTTGCGCGTAGAGCGATCCTTTTCTTGAGAGTTTTACGACGTACAACTGGAACTGGATCTCTTATGACAATCGGAGGCGATCGGATCAGTAGCTGGACCGCACTTAGGGAAACCCAAATTTCCAAACCAAAGATATGACGAACGAATGCCATGCCGATTCTAGCTCCTCGAAACTCAGTGAAACAATTACAGCAGAGGAGTAAATCTATGATAGGACCGAATCCATCAGACGTTTTCGACTAAGGTCGGGCTCAAATACTGAGCCCGACCTTAGCCGAAAACGTTTGTCCTTACTCGGATCGAAACGTCGCACAGCTGACATTCCAAAATCAGAACAACAACAGCACAAGGCCCTCTCACCGTACTTGCTGGACCTCTCCCTCACAGACCACCACTTCTTGATTAGCCCCGACAACTTCTTTGTTGTATGTTGTTCTAAAAAGAAGGATCACAAACTGACATTGATTCCTGGAAAACCTGATATATAGAACTCTCCTCTCTTCATTTACGACTACATTTTATGCAAAAGAAATCTTTAGACTTGATTAAAAACATGACTTGCCCCCCCCCCTACTTGCTCCCATTTCTCACCTTGGCTACTGCTAATGCAAACCATTTTTGGCATTACCACGTATAACTATCAACTTGTGATGAAGTTAGCACCCCAAATGCAGCTTCTTGCCCAAGAAATTGAATTAATCTGTTTGGAGATTGAGCAATAAGAAAATCATTGATTAATAATTCCTACTTTAGCCGGGTAATATGTTACCTGACGCCACTTAGACATCTGAAAAGGTGGGTCAGGAGACCAGAGCGAAAAATCTCAATGCAATAACAAATCCAAAGAAATAAAATGGAAAACGTCATTTAAATCAATGACAATAGATGGCGATTGTATGGAGCGAGACCTTGTTCTCGTCCATCCATTTGATGGCCGTCTTCACATCGGCAAAGTCGATAAACCCGAACGAACGCGAGCCACCTGCAGCGATTCAAGCATTCGCGCAGGATATATTGATCAATATTCACAAGAAATCAAGGCAAACACAAACGAGTTATGTCATGTACAGCGATGCATGAGAAACTGCGGATTCACGATATAAATAGTACAATGAAGTATGGCGAATCAGTATTGAGACATCTACAACCTCTGTCTACCTTCCACTAGCAAAATGCGATGTATTAGCGGCACAACCAAGAAATTCGCGTGCTGGTGAATATAATCACATTAGGGATGCCAGCAAAAGTAGACCAGAACTACCCCCAAATATCGATCTGAATAATGAGCAAATCAATGTTTCGGAGTAGTTCTGGCCTAAACTGATCATAACTGGTTGGCCATGCATCACCTTCAGCCACAACCGAGCACTTTCTTCGTTTCAAGTAAGGATGCCCTGCATTTGCCTAGCTGATGGGCTCCGTAACTTTTTTTCACAACTGAAGTGGGTCGCGGCGGACTTACGAAAGCAGGCTCGCCAATGTCTCATCGTTAGCTGGGAATCAAGCAAACGTGCACTATGAAATGAGAGAGCAGGCTCACCGCTCTCCAGCCTGCTCTCAGCCACGTTCGCCGCGCCACGACTTGAGATGTGAAAAAATCACGGAACCCTTCTGGTTGCTCTGTTTGCAAGAAAAAAAATCATGCAACTAAGTCAAAAAAGTCAAAACCCGACCATTTACCGCTTTATGAGCGCAAGGGTGCTTTTATGGTCGGTCGTCCCATAGCAACTATTGTGACACAGGCACAGTATTATTAGATAACTAGTAGTATTAGATAACTACTGATCATCTGATCCCTCGTCACAGCATCGCACGATCATCCGACGACCAACTATGAAAGCGCCTTATCAGAGAGTAGCCCCCGTTCCATATTGCTATAGCAGCTTGGTTTTGTTCCCACATCACTTTGTGTAAAGGGAACCCTCTTGGAAAGGTATACACCAATTCGAGACCGCGTCAGTGAACTCGAGTATTCTTCGCACGTAATACAGAATCAGGCAGAGTAGCCACTTCTTGGTCACTAGAGAGGCTGAAACGGAGTCCGTTGGTATGAGCGGTAAGGGTGGTCAATAAATCAGTCCCCCCCCCCAGTGTTGTGGTCATCGCGCGCAGAACTTCTAGCAGTCCTCTCGAAGTTTACAGGCTCTTCTTCAATAAATCTCATCTCGCTCCACTAGGTTATCTGTCCTCTGTAACAGCGCATGGGGAGACACTTTGCAGGTCTACACAAAACTTTTAGGAAGCAGTGTTCAACAAAAAGTTTTGATTTCATTACATCAACGGTGACCATTTACATAGCAATCCCCTCGCAGTACCAAATTAATTGAAATGATTTTTCTTTATGACATTCAGAAGACTACAAAGACAATTATGGAGTTTTTGAAAAAAGCAGCATGGTAGTAAACTACAAAAAAGGGAGAAATAACGAGAAGAATCTGAAGGCTATGCTATTCTGGAAGCTATCAATGAATACGAGCGACAACATGCTACAGCGAACACTTCTCACCTCGACGAGTAATCACACGGATATCTTGTGGTAGATAACCCGAAGCTGCCAGCACCAATGCGATCTTCAAGAGGGCATATTAAGGAAAGTAGAGTTACTGCACCTAATGCATGCCTTCACTCGCACTTACGGCATTCCTATCAACGTTGTTCGGCATATTTAGCAGCGCCAACTTGTTTACAGGGGCATTGTACGATGGTTCCCTTTCCTGCAAATTAATTACAGCTTTAGTTAAGCCGAAAACGCGCCAATCGAGTCCTGGGCGGAGCATGTGGACCCGTAAAGGAAAGGGGCATCACTACGACGCCTTCTTACTCTGCTTCTGGAGCGAGACCGCCGTCTGCGCGCCGGTGAACGTGAACGAGAACGACTGCGACCTGAAAATATAACTGCAATCTACGTCCGTCTACGGAAGGATCAAATCTGAGCGGCTCCTAAACAGTTGTTCGAAATCTTGCCGCAGCTACACAAAAGACTTTGCACTTCTGGGAAATCGGTATCTCCTGCTACGATGTTCGCCACAGATGATGACAACTCTAGTCACTACCATTTGTAAGCACGTTCTCTTGAATAGTTTGCCGGTCTTGCCGAGCGCCTTATGTCACAGATACCAATACGCGGTTCGGGCAGCTGAAAGGTCGGCTGTATCAATAGCGAACCTTTCGCACAAAACCAACCTTTTAATCTTGAATCCACTCAGACGGAAGCCGGATTCAAACGTGGCTTAAATTAGTAGCACTTTCAGCTACAAACACTGCACATCATTGTCAGTGATTGAGAGGAGGTCCAGCCTTTCAGTTCAGGAAGTCCAGAAAAAAGGAGCGGCAAAGCCGATAGAGAGAAGGTAAATGGGCGCTGTAGAATACGGAGGCATCTCTGGGACTAAGCTTAGGAGGAGGCAGGAACTTGGGGGAAATCGAAACGGCTCCCGCATCCTAGATTTGCTCCTCCCGCCTGAGGCTTAGTCCCATTGTTGACAGAGAGGTGTTTACGTGGATTCAAATCCACTGCCACCACAATGCCCCATATCCAGCGACAGCGCCGGAAAACAAATGCTTCGACCCAGCAATGGGCCGCATTCATTCGTTGGATCATGATGCGAATGGCATGCACATGCACTCAACCCTGCACTTGGAGTTAAATATCCAGCAGTGGGTTTCTTGGCATCTATTGTATTTTGGCTCGAATCAATTAAACCAATGAAGCCCCCAAACAAGATCGCAGCACGCTTTGACGAGAGCTTCATGCAAAACACTAGATAAAAAAGACATGAGAGTTTGTGGCAATAGCTTACCTCGGGAATATCGTCGGTCGCGACTTCGAGATCGACTTCTGTTTCGATAGCGATTCGGTGAGTCTGGTCTCCTACGATCGCGTTGATTGGGAGGTTCGCCTCTGCATTTCACATCAATTACAAGGACATAGAACAACTGATAACACAGGAAAGGTCCCAATCGAGGGAAGGAAGGACACGAAGGCGTGTCAAAATCCGAACGAGTACTTTGAAGTGTTGAGAAGCGCCAATCAATGTAGACAATACGAAGCATAAAAACGACATGAGAGGTGTCGCGGCAAGCCGATGTTTGCCTGCACAAATTGCAGAGGAACAAATTTCGTCCCAGCAATTCAAGGTTCATGGCAAACGTCATCAGCAAAGGAGGATGTTATCGATTTCTAGGGGAATCACCGCAGCTTTTCTTAATCTTATTGCTCATTCTCGTTCAAACAGATTAATAATGTCGTTTTAAATCTTTTTGGAACCAACAGATCCAGTTTTGAACTTCACCAGCGCATTATACACACACCTCCTTGGATCGTTCTGGTAAAATCTGGAATCCGATGTCTCTTCAAATCTTTGATAGTAGTCGTCGTATGTGTACCGTTCTCCTTGACGTTCAGGGTACTGCCCACGATCGAGGTCCGACTGAAAGCCATGAGTATCTAACCAATTCAAATAAATAGCAAGGAACATTTTCTGAAGAAAAAAGTACTGAAGCTGCTTGAGAGGGAATGTCGCGTTCCCAGCGCACTTTCTGGTTGCTGGTTAGTTACATACTGACTGGGAACCCAACATTGACTTGCAAGCATGTTGGTGAAGAAAAATGATCAACCACCTTCATGCCTCGATTGCCAGCATCTGATGCTTGATCATACAACCACTGTTGCATCATTCACCGGTCTTATCTTGACGATGACTGAAAACATGATTATCAAATCTCAACCTTTACGTAAGCAGTAGTATAATTTCGACCGAAACTCATTCGCAATATGAGCAAAGAAAAAACACAGACATGGAATTCATTACGTTACTCTGTGCACCTTGTCGGAAATTTCAGTGACGCTGAAAAGTCTACAAGTTCCGCATACTATTATACAGCTGAATTATAAAAATGTTCTTTGTTCGGAGGCGACCAATTGTTAAGGTTTAGTTCGTAATACTTCGCAACTGCCTTGCACTTCGCTTACAGTCATGGTGTGGAGAAGATACATATCGATCAAGCGAGCACGCGATAAACCTATCCGCTCCGCTCCAACTTCGGGAAGGCCACTAAGTATGAGTCGCCCGTGACTGATGACACAACAAGGATACTAGAGTAGAACAAGGAACACTAGCGGACCACTAGAGCACAACTTATCCTCCGAACTGTACCAAGATAAGAATTGAAAACATTTGAAGGGTTGTTAGTTTGGAAATTCTGAGTCCGCAGATGCTCAGAGAATAATAAAACTACCGATGCACTGTGCTAATCTCCGCTGAGAGCGAGGGTTGTAAGGTCTGAGGCGGGATAGCAGGCTGTAATGCTTGGCTGCACTAATCACATTCTTACGGTAGATTTCGCACTTATGGCGCACTTGTGGACTGCGTAG